CCCCCCAACTTCCCCCAGGATGGACAGACTGCGCTGCACGTGTGTGTGATGAGTGAGAGAAGGGACAAGCCGGAGGTGTTGAGGATGTTACTGGAGCACGGGGCAGACGTCAATGACAGGACTACCGGTCTGTCTGTCCGTCTGTCTGTCGCTTTGTTCTTCTGTCTGGTAGTCTATCTGTATATTTGTTTGTTTTTTCTGCTTGTCTTTCTATCTGTGTGTTTGCTTTCCTGCCTATCTGTCTATCTATCTGTGTATTATTTTTTTGTCCATCTATCTGTCTGTATGTTCGTTTTTCTGTCCATCATCCCATCCCTGTGTTTGTCTTTCTGTCCATCATCCCATCCCTGTGTTTGTCTTTCTGTCCATCATCCCATCCCTGTGTTTGTCTTTCTGTCCATCTGTTTTATCTCTTTATTAATTTGTTTGTTTTTTCTGCCTGTCTTTCTATCTGTATGTACGTTTACGGGGGTGTGGTGGACGGGGGTGTGGTGGGCCGGTGTGTGGCTTCTCTTCCTCCCTGGATATGGAGCTCATCCGTTCATGATGGGCTAGCCACGTGCATGGTTGTGTGTTCAAATTCTTCCTCGAATCTAGTCAGTGACCGAACAGTGACCACACAAACTGTCCCACAGATGTTGTCAGTGACCGACCAATAACCACACAAACTGTCCTCTCCCCAGGTCAAGAAAACACTGCCCTTCACCTGGCCGTCATGTACGGAACTTTCCCGAAGGATTTCGACACGGTCATGGTTTTCCTGGAATCCAACATGGACCTCAGTCAGCGGAACAAGGTGACATCAGAGGGTGACATCTGAGGGTGACATCTGAGGGTGACATGTGAAGGGTGACATGTGAAGGGTGACATCTGAGGGTGACATCTGAGGGTGACGTCTGAGGGGTGACGTCTGAGGGTGACGTCTGAGGGGTGACACAGGGTGACATCTGAGGGTGACATCTGAGGGGAGTCACGGCGTGGTTTCTTCCTATCAAACACTTAACTACTTTGTTATTGTAGTGTTTCTGAGGTGCTCCTGTCAGTTTTTTTAAAAGATAAAAGCTCGTTAAACTAGGCAGTTTAGTGAACGCGCTTGCGGCACGGCGATTTGGCCGTGATACGCCCCGTAGACTTTTGTGACCGACTGTGAAGCCTCGCGTTATGATAGGTCTAAACATCTCACAGTTTTGTTTCGTTTTGTGCATCGCACTACCACATTTGATACATCTTTTTAAACTGAAAGGAAAGATCTTCAAAATGGCAGTCTGCATGTGAAAATCGATTCTGTAGAACTGGAAATATTTTCTTCTGAAAACGAGGCAATTTTTACAACGCGATAAAATGTAAACTCCTGGCTGTATATTTATGAATCCTTCAGAAGTTATAGATTATCCATTCTAGTTTCTTTTGACACCCGAGTTATTCAGGTTGAACTTCGCACAACGCTACGGCGCTTCCCGTAAAAATGCATACAAAAAGCTGAATGGGCCGGTGAGCGATTGGGCGCACCCAGTCTCCCCTGCACACTGCGATAGCGTATTGCGCCACCACGCATTTATTCGCTCTTTACTTGTTTCTCCAGGTAAAAAATCATACGTGCGGCGATGAAATTATGAACGGACTGACAGAAGAGTTCACAGTTTTGTTTTTATTTGATCATATTTGGCTCTTGAATAGTGCAGATGATAGCTAAATCTAGATTCCCTGTCTAGAATTAGTAGCAGTAGTAGGCTAGCAGCAGTCAGAAAGCCAGCTTCTGCTAGATCTAACTGTTTATACCTTTGGGCTTTGGAATGGAAACAAGACTTGGATGACACATGAAACATGACACATGACACTGTTCTAACTGATGTCAGATTCAGCCCCTATCTAGCTCTATAGTTTCCAGAGTCAATAATAAATCTCATCACGACAATCACTTTTACTTTTATTAGACAACTTTTTTCTCTCATCAGTTTTACGCTAACTGCCAGTCCGTGGTAGAGAACGGAGTTTATAAAGCCTTTGCTCTGTCTTTCACTTTCAGTACCTAATCATTTTAGGTTCTTATTTTCTGGATATTTTTACTTTTTACATTATCAAATTGTGCCATTTTCTTTGATATAATATATGGTCAGTGAGTCTTTGACTCAATTTTTTAAATATGGTCAAATAAAAACAAAACTGTGAACTACAACCATGTAATACATCTACAACAATGTTATACATCTACGACAATGTAATACATCTACAACCATGTAATACATCTACAACCATGTAATACATCTACAACAATGTAATACATCTACAACAATGTAATACATCTACAACAATGTAATACATCTACAATGTAATACATCTACAACAATGTAATACATGAACAGTGTCTGTTACACTCCAGAAATTCCTTACTTTTCTTCAAACGCAAAGTCTAGGTAG